CTAGTGAGGCATACGATGCCTCTGCTGAGGGAGGTTCTCCCTTTGATAGCCTACGGTATAAATTTCTCTTTAATCAGTTTATTGATGTCGAGTTCTCTTTAATCAGTTTATTGGTATTTTTGTTTGTTTCAGCTTCCTCGACGCCGACTTGGAAAAGGAGTTTGAAAGTTAATGGATCTTGTCACTGTGTTGGGGGCTGAAGTCTTGGGGTCCGCGTTTGTTTCTACGGCATAACATTTGTTGTGGAACTTGTTTTTGAACTTTTTAGTAATTATAATTTTGTATTTGTATTCATTGGACTCTTCATTGTTGAATGAATAGTCCAAATGAATACATGAATGTTGTATTTTGAATACATGAATGTCCGTGGTAGTACTGTTTACTTGGACCTGACCAATTTAACCAATATATTATGGATGGTAGTAAACTGTAAGTGTTACGTGTTACACGCTAACATGAGACCTAACTAATGCCTGGATACATTGTTGTGGTTGAAGTTTGGTTCTTGTATATTATGGATGGTAGTAAACTGTAAGTGTTAAGTGTTACACGCTAACATGAGACCTAACTAATGCCTGGATACATTGTTGTGGTTGAAGTTTGGTTCTTGTTGATGATTTGTCTGTTTGTGTGTGTGTAGTGTTTTTATCAATGTGGTTTTTACTACTGCATTGCTTGTATTTCCAGTGAAGTTTTAATGAGATTTCTGCTATAAGTTCCAACAAATTATGTCTGTTTGTAATCGAGTCCTCTACTGAAGGATTGTAACTTTAAGCATTTGCATCGAAACTACTCAGTAAAGTTCATTGGGTTTGAGAATTTGATTTCTACGTCATTTTAATTGCAGAAGTTCAATATCCACTACTCATTTACATCTATATATAATGCTACTAGTTAATATATAGTATTGTAAATCACTCAAAATAACTATATATAATTGTATTAGTTAATATATAGTAATGTAAATCACGTAAAAATATATTTAAGGAAACCGTATTCTGAAAATACATTTTCAATTAAAAAAAAAATCACTCAATAATAAATTTTATAA